CCATATGTGCTGCCTATTAGGGCAATTTCAGAGAAGAGAACGTAGTATCACCTCAGTATCTTCGGTCGCAACGAGATTGTATCGTTTGAGAAGGTGTGCGAGTAAGAGTTTCTCCTCCATGTGAGCGAGTCGCATCCCGATACATTGCCTTGGACCAAGTCCGAAAGCCAAGAACGCCGCTAGTGGCCTTCCTGACGACTCCATCCACCTAAATAAGCATTTTTTGAATAAAACTGTGTAAACTGAGTGGCAGGCGTCCACAAGTATATTCGGGGATTATTGGGTATTTGACCGGATTTCCCGGTCACAATATCAAGGTGATCTGCGGATCAGTAGCTGAAGTAGTGTTCGGATCAAAAAAGGCTGAAGTACGTCAAGCAATACATTGATGCTCGACCGGCTGTCCTCCAATACTTGGTACGAAGCCCCTCTTGGAGATTTAGAATTTGGAACACAGTGAGTGAGCTTATGTTAGCAGTATTTTATACTCCAAACTTTGATTTTAGGTTGATAATTTGTAGTCCAGACTGACGCACAACAATAATGTTATCGTTTCATGACCGAAACCCAAGCTAAGCTAAGTCAAGGGAAATTGATGAAGGATAACGTCTACAGCTGTATGTGCCCACTCATCCTATGAATGGTGTGGTCTCACATAATTTTTGTCGAATATTTAGAAAGATTTGGGTTCACTTCCGCATACCGCACCGGTGAAGGGCATCGTTTGCACCGCAAAGATAGCCGATCGAAAGCTGGACGCGTAAACGTCACGCGTTTTTGCCTTCGGATAATTTATCCTCTTGAGCAAAGGCCCACTAACTTCATTTATCATGCCGTATAAAGACACAATAACATATTCGTTGCTATCAGTTGAAATTCTTCATACTCACAATCAACAGACCATTACGTGGAATTACCTTTCTGGTCGAAATACGTCGGCGTCGTTTCCCCAGATTTCTTTGTCGTAATGAAGAGACATGGTATCAGCAACCACGAATTCTCCTTCTTCAATGGGTATTCCTCCAAGAGTGGTCGCTTTCATACAGCGACGTGCATTAGCTCTAAAACGGCCTCATAATTTTGTCACTGTTTTGGCATGTGTGATTGCTATGGTGCTCTGAAGCTCACATTTGGGCGAGTGGATACATCCGCAGGGACTCCTTCATGACGGAGTCGAGATACTTCATATTTGCTATGGTTTCGTAGTTGATTGACTGAAAATTAGCTCAA